CTGGTCAGGTCATTGTGGGCAGGGCTGTGACCCAGTGAGAGGGGCTGTAATCCTGCGGGCAGGACGGGGGCAGCCCTGCAGGGCAGGGGACTTGGTGAGCAGAGGTGGGGGGACTGGTCAAGACTTGGGATTCAGTGGGCAAAGCTGGACGCTTTGCAGGCAGGGCTGTGGAGCCGGTGGGAGGGGCTAGGCACCTGGCACGAACTAGTGGGCGGGGCCTGAAGAGCAGGGCCCAGGCCTGGGAGCTCAGTGTTAAGGGACCCTGGGAACCTGGCATATTGATGCATTTTGGGGCCAGGGGTGGGGATAAAGGAGACAGAGGTCCAGAGAGGGATGAGGGGCGGGACCGTGAGTAAAGCCTGCAGATGCCATGAGGACTGGGGATTTAGAGGTCAGGCTGAGGACCAACCAGGCCAGTGGGAGATTGGGGGGGGGGGGGGGGTTGGCCTGCAGGCCGATCTGAGGACAGGCTCAGAGCTGGATGTGAGACTAAGCTGAGTCCTTGGGTGTGGGCACCAGTTGTGTTTGCGATGGTAGTGGGTGGGGCTGGACGTCCGGAGGGCAGCTTGGGTGCAGTGCCCAGGGCTGGGGCAGCAGTGAGGGCAGTGGCTGGGGCAGGCGGTCTGGGCCCCGCATGGCTGTACCTGCACAGGTGACCTGGGCCGGCTGCCCGTCGGGGTCGCACGGGTGCTGCTCCATCAGGCAGAGCTGCCACTCGCTGCTGCTGCACAGGATGCTGGGCGCCAGGGCCCACGTGGCGTTCGGGGTCCCGCTGGCGTTCCCCAGGGCACGGTCCAGCGGCAGCGGGGTGGGCGGGGCGGGCCCCCACTCGGCCCCGCCGCAGCCCAGCACGCGGCACGCGGCCTCGGAGGCGCTGTGGTCCCAGAGCGCCCCGCATGGGGGCTCCCAGGACCCTCCTGCCCGCACCTCCACGGTCCCGCTGCAGCGGTTGCTGCCGTTCACCAGGCGGACCTCCAGCCGCTGCCCTGTAAGCACCAGGCCCGGCTGAAGCCCCGCAGGCCCTGCTGGTGCCAGGACGCAGGGGGGCAGTGGCTCCCAGGGCCCCACCCCTTCCTGCCTCCTGACTCCAGGCCTCAGGGGCTGGACTGGTCATCCCCAGCCCCCCTTAGGCCTGACCCCTACTTCTTCTTAGGTCAGGAGGAGGGGCTGAGGGTGACTCTAGGGGTGAAGGAGAGTGGGCCTGGGACCCAGGGGGCACCCCTGTGTAAGGAAGGGCAGGGGTGCCCCCAGGCCTCTCTGTCCTGAGGGTACTGACTGCAG